CTTCTCTGTACCTTTCCTTCTGTGAGATTCAGGAGTGCCTTGCCCTACATATAAGTAGCTGTGTACCATTCTGTCCCAGCTAATCACTGAGGGTAAGTTCATTTGCATCTCTATAGCCAGTTCTGGCTCTTGACTTTGAAGTGGGTCGTTGGAATGAGCCATGGGTCTTGTTAAATCTGTTGTGGCCTGGTTTGTGTAGATTGGAACAAAGCTTGGGCTTGGAGCTGAAAAATGACACATCCCTGTCTTCAGGGATACAGCAAGAGATTGACCCACCAAACCAACCCCCATTGAGAAACTACTGCTCTTTCTCTAAAATCATAATTTTAATCCTGCTCCCCCAAAATACAAAAGGAGAAATGGATCATGCTGTGATCACGGGAGAGTTTTAAGACCAAAATAGAAAGTGAACTCAAAACCATCACAAAGAAAATGTTTGTCTCTCATTGTTTTGCATTTCCATAATGCTTAGCATGATAAAACCATCTTCCCTTTCTCCTTTATTTTTCAATCATCATTAGGCTTTAATGTTGTTAAAGCTTGTAAGTGAGTTTGAGCCACTGTCTTGTTGAAGAGAAGATGGAGCTGAAATTTTCAGTGAGGCACTGGACAGGGTTTTTAATGTGTCTGTCATTATATGTTAACCTCTGAACTGGGACACGACGTCTGTTTTATGGCTGACAACAATTTCAAAGTATACATCTTGACGTGGTGGATAAAGGAAGAAGGGGGAGTGGAGAAGAAAAAAAAGAATTAATGATGTTAGCAAATATTAGTCCCTGTATTTCCATTTTGTTCCGAAAGTGGTTGTCAGGCTGTGAGGCTGTAGGAGCAGCATTGCCAGTGACAGCCAGCGGGATGCGATTGTCCCTCGAATCGAGCCAGGCTTTTATTGACAAATACAGTGCTCCGAGGCAGGGATGAGGATGCTCTGCTGTCTGTTCTGGGAGGAGGGCAGCTCAGCTTTTCTCCTGTCATTCCTGGTGCCATTTGAGAAGGATAGTTCTGGGCTTAGTGGAGTTCCCTGCGCCAGGCGGTGAGCACGTCGGGAGTCAGGGGAGCTGAAAATGTCTCTCAATGAGTGCGTTTGCTGCATACCTAAGCACGTATTTGTCTGTGATTTATGCTGGCTTTGGTCAGCCAGATCCGCCCACCAAAGTTAACTGTCAGGAGCAATAGTGGCTTTGACATCAGCCTTAATTGTGCACAAGCCACAAAGAATCAGTGGGCAAGAATTAGAGGGAAACACAAGAAATTCCACTGTATCATCTCTTCCCTGATTCCTTGCATGCTGCTTCCTGTGCTTTGACACACAGGTGCAATCCTCCAGGGTTTCTTCATGTGCTGTCACAAATTCCTCTTCATTCCCACAGTTTTTAACTGGCAGTTTAAGAGCAAATCCCTCACTCTTGTGGAGCCCACAGTGATTTTACCTTTCCTACAGCACCTCACTTGCATGGTCCAGCTACAGATAGGACTGCTGTCATCTTTGTGGGATTCAGGTTGCAAATGATGGGAGCCTGGGATCATGTTATTTAACTGTCATTAGTTACATGTGTATCTGCAGTGCTTCTGGACAGCGCTGCCAGCAGTGGGAGAAATGGAGCTGGCTTAATTGAGAGCCACATAGTTAATTATTAGTGCCTTTTTAACGGAGGAGAGAGGAAATTTGCAGTGTCAGTTTTTAATTTCATTGTGGTTTGCAGGGTAATGCAACTTTAAACCCACCAGTCATTATTATCTGTGTATATTGAGCATTGGCTTTATCTTTCCAGCCCTAAAAGCCCTTTTGTGCTGTAGAAATGTCAAGAGATTTCAGAAGGAAAAGGGCATCTGCACATGACTGATCCCTTCAGCCAGGATGAGTGACAAATACAAACACTGGTTGCTGTCAGTACAATAGCTGTGACGTGGTTTGGAAGGAGCAACTGCTTCTGTCTCACCTTTTTTGTCACTGAGTTTGGTACGTTGTGCTTGGATATTGCATGTGAGTCCTGGCAGGCTGGGCAGCACAGATTTTGGAAGTGGGCAGATGAGCTCACGGATAGGCAAGTTGTCAAGGGCAGCTGGAAAGAAACCAGTTTGTGTCTGCATCGTGGCAGAGTTTGCATTTTTGTGAAGAAGCATTCCTTGTAGCTGGACAGATTCCCCTTGGGAAGTCCAGGTGGTGATGAATGGTGGAGCCATGATGCTTCCTTCATGGCTTTACAGAGTAGGGGCACACATTAAATCCTGAGAGAACAGCTGAATCTTTTCCTGTGCATCCTTCATAACCTTGCTCTACATATCGAGGACTGTGATGGAATAAGCTTGGTTCAACATCCATAAATTGAATATTGAGTTACCTATTTCTGTGTGAAAGAGATGAGATAAAAGCTACTTGGACGAAGTAACTTGTGTATGGATTAAAAGCCAGAGAAGTTTTTGCCTGAGCATTTTTGGGAAAGCCTTTATCGCTAAGTTTCCTGATGACCTTATGTGTACTCAATCAATGTGATTAATCTGTGGTAGAAATGCATTCGTTGTGCAAAGAAGGTGAACTTAATCCCAGAAACCTTTTTTTTTTTTTTTTACAGCTTCTGCCTCTAGAAAGATGAAATGTATTTTCTCAAGTGTTCTTTCTGACTTGGAAAAAAGCACCACCCTAAAACTGGAGTGGGAAGAGATAAGAATATAGATTAAAAAAGTTTTGTAGTTTCTGATGGTGGTTGATTTCTGTCCCTCAGTATCAAACAGGATAGACTGGTTGTGACTATAGCTTCATTGTGTAGGAATTACTCCTGCAGGCACTTGCAGATGATCTGAAATTAATTTTCTTCATAAGCGGTGTGGAAATAATTGATGGACAGTAAGGTTCTCTGCTAAATAATTTTTTAAGAGGGGCACTGCACTGTAAAGACTCTGAAGCCCTTTCCCTTCAGGAAAGGAGAACTTCATGTCACCTTCCACTCTAAATTAGAAACCTACATGCCATAGAATAGTTTTCAAAGCCAATTTCCTTTCCATTTTTTCTTACAAAAGAAGTACATCTGTGATACCTGCAAAGCCAAATATTATGGCTTTGGGCTGGTACAGGAGAGCTGAAAGGTGGAACTGGTTGGCTCAAACTGGGCAGCATATAGAAGTAAATGTATTATAGGGAAGCAGTAAATTGATTTCAGACAAAAGCAACCTGGGGGCAGGAAGAAAGACAAATGTAACCGTGTTTTATTTTTAAAAAATCAACATCTTTCTTGGTAAAATTATGATGAGACAGCAATGCTCTTCAGTATTGATTAGAGGGGTGGAGCATCCCTCCTGTAAGAAAAGCTGAGAGAATTGGGATTGTTCAGCTTGGAGAAGGGAGGGCTTTGGGGTGACCTGATTGCTGCTTTCCAGTACCTGAAGAGAACCTGCAAGAAAGATGTAGAGAGACTATTTACAAGGGCCTGGAGTGCCAGGACAAGGGGGAGTGGCTTCAATCTGAAAGAGAGTAGGTATAGTTTAGATATTAGGGAGAAATTCTTCCCTGTGAGGGTGCTGAGGCACTGGCACAGGTTGCCCAAAGAAGCTGTGGCTGCCCCATCTCTGGAAGTATTCCAGGCCAGGTTGGATGGGGCTTGGAGCAACCTGGGCTAGTGGAAGGTGTCTGAGCTCATTGCAGGGGGTTGGAATAAGATGATCTTTAAGGTCCCTTCCAGCCCATACCATTCTAGGATTCTGTCATTGTATGTATTGAAGCTACTGAGAGGCTGCTAGAGACTAGGACTCTGCATCTGATTTTACTCACCCTGGGCATGACAATCTCATCACAGAAAGCCACAGAACTGTGCACTGACAACAGCAAGTCACAATTAATGGGTTGATTTTACAAGGAGTTACTGCTGCAAACTGCAGACCAGTTTTGAGTGCTCCCCCAGAACCAGAGCACTGGATGTCCTAGAAGAGTTGAGGGTTCTAGCACCTTGTACCCCCTCATTGGGTCAGGCTCTCAGACAGCAGGCACTTAGCCTGTTGTGAGTCTGGCACCAATGTACAGTCAGGATCCCGAGCTGCAGGATGGTTTTGTGAAAAGGTAGGCCTGGGGCTCTGCATCGATCAATCATTATTCTAATTGTTCATTTCTATTATGGTGGGAATCATTCAGAATCCTAGAGTTCCTGGGAGTAAATCATTTGGAAATGCTGCCCATTATAAAATTTAATTTTAAATCTATATTAAATAGATTTATAAAGGCAAGCTTTGCAATCTAGTAACAGAACATTATGCTGCCTCACAGAGGCTCAGCTTTTGGGTCCTGAGGGGCCAAGACCAGGAGTGCTGTGGAGACAATGCTGTGGCTCACGGTGAGTGGGACAACGAGGCTGCCAAGGCTGCATTTTGGGTGACCTGCTGGGTCATTGGCTGAGAGATCCATCCAGCTGGTCCAGAGAGAGTAGGGTCTGCTGTGAAATGAACCTTCCAGAGGGCTGATCTCATCTCTGGGGCAGGGGAAGGGGTGGGAGACGACAGATTTCTGAGTGGGGTGGGAGCCAGGATGCTAGACCAATCTTTCTTTTTCTTTCAGACAACAGAGAAGAGGGGAAAGGAAAGCAAAACTGTATTTGGAGGCCCAGTCGTCAGCTCATTGTATCAAGAAGAAACAATCAGGTGATTATCTGTGCTGGAATTTGGTTAAAAACAGTATTTTTCTAATGTCGTTTTGTTAAGCTTTTTTTTTTTTAATATTGCACAAGTGTGGTGGCAACTACAACAGGATAATAAATGACAGGAAAGAACTTTTCAGGTCCATAATCATTTAAATCAATAACTGCCTGTATCATTGCCAGGTAGTAACCTTTCCCTAGCACAAGATGTGGGGGAAGGGCAAGGCTTCCCATTTTTCAGTTATATGGCTAAAAAAAAAGGTAATATTGGATATTTTTAATAGAAAGCTACTTGGACACTACCTTTTTCAAATAGTTACTTCTTTACCAATACATTCATTAGGGATTGTTCAGTGAAGGTTTTGGTGTTGGACAATGTTTGCCTTCAGGGAGAGTTTGTACCTTATATCAAATTAATTTTTTTTCTATCCTCTGCAGCTAGCAAAGCAGAAATGCATTTGCTGAACTAGAATGGCTGCTATTTAAAACTGTCAAGGTACAAGCAGTAAGTGACATCAGCTACTGAATAAGGACAGCTGGATTTTTTGTTTGGTTGGTGATTTTACTGCTCCAGACTATTAATCATGGGTATATTAACTTCAATACCTAAATGATTTTGTGGAGGATCTTTCACAGTACTGCATTATATTTTTAGTAAAAGTGAACAGTCAGAGAAGACCAAATTGTTGAGAAGTGTTTGCTGTCATGTTGCACTCACCCATTTACATGTATGTGATCCCATTTTTCACTGAGTGTCTTGCATCGTTTTAGTCCAAGGAAATTGAAAGTGAAACACTGAATTCTCTACACACAGCATCCCAGGCTTGCTGAGAACTTTCCCAAAAGGTTAAAACTCAACACAGCATTTCTTTGACTTGTCACAAAGTATATGAAAAATAAATCTGGGGCGGGTGGCTCCAAACCCTTTGCAAGGAGCTCAGCTGGGAATTGATACTGCTCTTGTGTGTAGGCAAATAGGATGTCAGTTCAGTGCTTGGCAGTAGTGCAAGTGTTTCCCTTGGGATTGCAATCCACTTTATAGTGAAGTGGAACAGCTGGCCAGGAATAGCCTTCTCCCTTTGCATGGAGAGCCAGCACATCTTTACCTTACCCCTGGACCTTGACCAGAGGTGATCAGGTGTGACCTTGGTTCAACATGCTGTTTGAGGAATGGTACATCTGCTAGCCACAAGCTCCCTTTTCTTCCCTGCTCTGTCAGTGTAGGTCTCAGCCAGCATCCCTGATCTCAAAGTTTGACCTTGTGGTTTAAATCCTGTTCAGGCTCTCCTTTTAGGAGTGGAACATGTCCCTGCAGTGCTGTCAGAGTCTTGGCTATCCCAAGTACTGCCTGTGCTCCTTCTTGGGTATGAAATACAGCACCATGTACAGAAAAAGAGAGTTTACTCTGGTTGGTTTGACTAGCCTAAATCTTGTCATATGTTTGGTTTTATTTCCATGAAAACACAGGAAGATAGTAATGAGCAAATGTCACCATCATCTCACCCACATGTAGGTTGTACAGCTTCATATTTCTCATTACTTTTGTCTACTGTTCATCCTCTTACTGGAACAGGGAATGAACATGTGCAAGCACAGGCACATCTCTAATAGTCCTAACTATAATAGTAAAAGCAGAGCCCTACACAGCAAAATTGACCCAGTACTAAACCTGGAAGCAGATGAGCCAAAGAAAAGTGGCTCTAAACATTCAGTTTGGTGTCCAAGTTTGTCTAGAGCATGAATTGGTTTGATAGATGTACCACTCACCTGAGAAGGGTGACTTTAGTGGGGCTCTGACTGGTCACTTAAAAGAACATAAGGTTAGCATTCAGTAACACTGCAGTGAATTTGTAAATAGAATTTAGTCTTGTAAAGATAAGGCATTTTCTGTGGAGGAAGAAAATGAAAAATTTTCAGGCGAAGGAAGAGTGAATAGCTTGAGACAACATAAACTTTCACACATTGATAGTTGTGGGTAAGTCCTGTGCTGTAAGTTCAGAGTGCACACATGTGCTACCTCAAAACCTAGTAGCTAAGGAAAGAAACTTTGATGGAGACTGTTTTATTGTCTCAGTTGTCTGTGATGGGTCAAGTGAAGCTTTACAACAAGCTTACAAAAATTGGAACATAAATCAAACCACTTTAGTTTCTGTTTTCCAGGCCTGTTGATAGGATAAATATTTTCTTGTTGCAAGACCATATTAAGGAAGCCCAGAACAGGGAAAATAAAACCTGTTTTTGTTTACTAAAAACTAAAACCCGAGTCCTCATCAGCCCTGAGTTCTGACAGACTGCTGAAAGCAATTTCTCAGCAGGCATTACCCTGCCAAACACAGCCTACCGTATGCCCTTTAGGATTCTGCTGATGTAAAGGCAGGAAAAGGCTGCTAATTTATCTGGAGCCCAGAGTGCTCACAACCTCACCTTGCACCAGGAGATAGACAAGAATGCAAGTGCAGAGTTTTGGAGGTTCACCTAAGCAGGTTCACTAGTTTTATTCTTACCAGAAGCTTTCGAACAGTTTATCAAGCGATTAACATCCTCCAAGCTGCTGCTGTGTGATAGGAAGAGGAGAGGTTTTGTTTGAAGTAGAATAAACCACTGGTTTGCCATCAGCAGTAGTTACCAAGCAAGGCAGCAATGCATTTACTGAACTAGAATGGCTGTTATTTAAAACTGTCAGAGCTGTTGCTTTCAAAGTGAGTGTCTAAAATTATGCATAAATAATGCTTACGTTCCTTTTGTGGAATGAAATCCATGGGTTCTAGGATGCAGATCTGTAAATGTTGGACAAAGTGGAGTTACCATACCCTGCTCTAAAGTGGATCAGCAGTAGAAAGAACTCGGATGGTGCCAGGGCTGATTTTTACCTTATCACTAATTATCTTGGATGTTTCTGCTTTGAGAAGAAGATAGAAAAATGTTCAGTCTGGCTCGCAGAAGTACATTGCACTGATTCCAAATAAATTCAAGAGCATCCATAGAAACAGGTTATACCGATCTAATTAAATCAATTTAGAGAGAGATTCGGTTAAATCAGTGCAATTTGTGTGTTCATAGATCAATCCTCAAATCAGGAGAAGGTCTCTGGGGCTAATGAGGCGTAGCAGTTATTTACTTTGGGGTGCTGGGCACCGGTCATCAATTAGGAGTCATTAATAAACCCTGGCAATAAAGAGCTCGAGTACCCCTGTGAGTAATGGGGAGCAGTTGCAGGATGTATTAGCATAGTGCTCTGCCTCTGGGTTTCTCTGCAAATCACTTATCTCCCCTCGGGCATTGCATAGAATCCTGTGTGCTGGTGTCTGATGATGGGACTTGGAGGTTCCCCTGGAAGGAAAGATTTAGAAATTATCTGTGATTTCAGGCTGGGTATAGTGATGTTTTGGGGCTTTTTTTTTTACTGCTACATAAAGCTTTATGTCTCTTTTCTGGTCTTATTACCAGAACAAAGCAGTCGTAGTGGAGCTCTTTCATGATCAAATCGCTATAATTAGAGTTTCACAAACCTGGGAAATGAGCAGTGAGATGAGGTTGACTGATGTGTTACCAGTATAAATCTCATCCAAGACACAAACTGAGAGACATTCCAAAAATACCACAGCCTTGGAAACTCAGTTCTTTTTAGTATTTTTTTTTTAAGTTGGGGCGAGGAGGAGGCAGTTTATAAGTGTTTTCAGCAAACGAGAGCATTGACTTGGCAGGTGGAGAGTGAGAAATAATGTTGCCAAATATCCATCTCCCTTTCCACTTCCACTGGAGGAGCTGTGCTGCACCATGCCACAGGCTGCTTCCACATGGTCTCGGCATGCCAGGATGGGAATGACATCCCCCAGTCACCACTGAGGCCTCCATCCTCTATGCTTTCCATATCTGCCATCCAGAGAATGCTGAAGAAGCCCTTTTCTGGTAGAAACTTCCACCCTTCCTCCTAAGTCTTGGGAGCAGCCCCAGTCACGAGTGGGGCTCCATTTAGGATCAGGGCACAGAGTGGGCACCCCTGGTGGTCGGGCCCTGCCTGATGCCATGCAATCTATCAGAATTGTATTAATCCCACTAACGCAGTCGCCATCTGGCCGCGCTGCCGGGCCGGCGCGCGCGAGCCCCCGTGATGGATGGCCCTGGGAATTGATTAGTTGTTGTGCGAGACAAATGAACTGTTTTGGCAGAAAATACCAGAGGTCGCTGCATGTGGTCAGGCACAAAGGCTGCTGAATTTTAAAGAGCTGCTTCCAGCATCCATTGCAAGGATGATGCTTCGGAGCAGCCACGGCTTTTGAGAGCAGCCCAGCGCTCCGGAGCATGGTTGGGATTTTGTTGCCTCCCTCCAGTCCTACTTTTAGGAACACCAGTGCTGGAAATGAGCGCAGAGCTGCAGGGATGAGCATCCTTGCCGTGCTGGGAATTACAGGCTCGTGCTGGTGGTGTGTGTGGCTGCACCACAGATGTCTGTCGCTCACATAAACGCTGGGCTGTGCAATCCCTGCGGAAGAGCTTTGCCGGTTGTGCCGAGCCCAGGCAGCCGTGGAGCCTCCTGAACAAAACACCTGCGGGTCCAGGCAGCTGGGGTTGGGGTTTTTTTTCAGGTCAGTGTTATTTAGAAGTGGATGCTCTCCTGGTGATGTTCAGCGGGTAAATCTCTGGCTTCAAGATGATTGCCAAGTTTATTGCTTCCCCCCTTTTTGTTGTCCTCGGGGCGGTGACCCTTGGGGCTTTGCTTTGTTGTGCAAAGGGACGGCTAGGCTGAGGTTTGCCTTCCCTTTGGGAGAGCCCATCCTTCAGTGGCAGCTCCTGGTTGGGGTGGGGGTTTTCACGGCCCCCTCCTCTCCGGTGTTGCCGCTAATCTAGCAAAGTGCGTGCGGCGGGTGGGGAATTGGATGACACATGTCTCGCGGTGTCCCAGTGGCTCTCAGAAGACAGCACAGGAGTGTGCCTGCAAGTGGGCAACACTTCCCTCGGGATGGCCTGCCCGTGCAAAATAAACTTGAGTTATGGATTTATTCAGCTTGTAAAACCTCAGCTGGCATAAATAATTGAGAAAGCAAAGGTTTGTCTGTGGTGCGTACCTCAGGGACCCACTCCTGCCTCCCTCCCTCCCACCACCCTTTCTTATGAAAATGATCCCAGTTGCACTGATAGATAATAACAACACCAAGCAATTAAAAGCTATGGGTGGCTGGAGAGAGGAGAAAAGGTTCAGTTAATGAGCTTTTCCTCTTCCCGTGCCCAGGAGAGCCTCAGAAGTGACGAGGCGATTAAAGCAAAGAGATAATTATAGATTATGTGAAAATGGGTCCCTTGGGGGCTGAGGGCCTTGACATAAACAGTAAGTGTTGTGAGTGTCTCTGGGCTCCCCGTGCTGCCTGCTCCGCTCCGCCGCGCTCTCGCTCGCGCCGCAGACCGTGCCAAGCAGACGGGCAAAGCCACCTGTTAGCGGCACCCGGGGCCGCTCCGCACGGTGTCCACTGGGACACGGCTTGGACCAGCCCTGGGAAAAGGGGAGAGGACACCCAGAGTAGAAGCTGATCTCAGCCCTTCGCCCTCAGCGTTGCGCTGGAGGTAACCTGCAAGGGGGGGAGAAAGGGGATGGGGCAAACCTGGAGGATGTTCTCTGCGCAAGGGTAGAATGTCTGAGTTTCAGGTCTCTGCTGTGCCCTTTGCACTGGCAGTCTGGGTGGCTGTTTAGAAAGCAAGGAGGTTTACAGCACTCCAGGTAAGAAGGAATTGAAGCCTGATGAAACAGCAGCAGGTCTTTCCAATGTTTTAAACCATTGGCTCCACAGGTGTGTTTCGGACACCTTACAGAGAAGGTGTGTGAAGCCTTCCAAGCTTGGAGATGGCTTGGTTTAAGTTCTTCCACATCCTTTTATTCAAGGATGGAAAAAGCTGCCCATGTTTACTTGCAGGCAACAGGTATGCTTCAACTCATCGTTAAATTAGAATTAGCTTCTCTTACTGGGGAAAAGCAGAAAATAGCTTTGGGGGCTGAACGTGTATCAGCAAGGGAGAAGAGAAACCTTCTGGCTCTCCTCAGGAAATAGATGTAAACACACTCACTGCCTTTACTGACAGTCAAGTAGTTGCTGACTTGAAGTCTTCTTTTTAGCTCAACAGCCTGACACAGAAAGAAAATTGCATCCAAGTCTTCATTTCAGCTATAGGTTTGAAGTAATTGTGCACATCTCAATCAGGTTGAGTTTCATGGTCTTTCCTATCTATTCAGATGTCCTGAATATTGTATTTTTTACATGCATTGAGATTTGCCTCAAAATACTGATAGAAATGCTATGGGTTCTGTCTCCCATAACATTATCTGAGCAATGTCTTTGCACCGTCACTTAGTTCTGTACTTTCAGTGTCTGTTTTTACACTGTTTCTGCTGGTTTCTGGGCCTTGCTGCTGACTCCTACCAGTTTTATAAGGAGTGCAAATTCCTCCTAGGAATAGGTGTGATAAAAACACTGCATCCTTTTCATTTCTTTATAGTTACTACGGTGGAAGGATTATTCAGCACGTACACATACACACACGTGAAATAAAGGGAGGGAAAAAACTGAGTTGCCAAGTTTGCATGCTCCATGTCTTATTTGTCCTGTGTGGTTTTGAATGCAAAGTCAGCAAATTACAGTACCTTGTCTTTATTCCATTCACACCATTCAAGGGGAATGTTTTCCCTAGTTTTGGTCCCTCCAGAAATCTGGTTTTAACTCCTCTGAGCTCTTTTCTCAGTTTCCCTTCCTGGTTTTGGCATGTGACTAGATCAGGTTGTTTTAAATGTCTGGAGTGCAGCTTCACAGGACTATTTTATTTGTAGGTAAAATATCTTTGTTGTGACTGTATGGACTTCCCTTGAATCTGTTCAGGAAAGGGCTTGTTTCTCTCTGTTAATATTTATAGAAAAGTTGGATATAATATATGCTCATTTTTTTAAAGGGGGCATCAGGAGCAGAGGAATGGTTTAAAGCTCGAGAAATAAATGCAGAGTAGAAGTACGAAATTTCCCGAAACCTTGTGTTCAGGTAGGGAAATTGGTATTCTGGATTAATTCCATTGTGGAGACTTCTGAAAGAAAAGTGGTTTTTTGGAAGGGGGATATATAGAGCATTTACAGAGTTGGTTATTCCAGCAAGCTAAATCATATCCAAATAGCTGTGTCAGGTCATTTTCGCCTTACAGACAATAATATCCTTGGGAAAGGACTGTAAAAGTCCTGTCTGGAGGCTGTGGTGGGCAGATGGCCTGGTTTGGGTACATCAGGGTTGCTGTGCCCTCTCTGCTGGCACAGACCCTGTACCCAGGCCCCGTGGAGCACAGTCAGGTGCTTTATTGCTGCCACGTACCTGCTGGTACCTCTGGTGCTGCCATGTGAGGTCCCTTGGGGTCTGCAGCATGTGGAAGTGCTGCTGCCCAGGCTGAGCTGGTGGCATCACTGCCAGGGATGAAGGGCACAGCCCAAGCGTGTGGCTGTGACATGGCAAATCACCCAGGAGTGGCTGAGAATGGTTGTGGACTTCTCTAGCAAGGAGAGACTGGTCTCTGCTTTGGTGTCACGGAAGAAAGAGTGACCTGTAATAAATGAGGAGTGTGTGGCTGTTCAATGGGGGAAAAGCTGCTGGAGCCAAGTTACTGTGCAGTGTTCTCCCCAAAGGCTGCTGTCAGCAGCCAAGGGTGTGTTGGAGAGGTTGGGCTAACAAGGCAGGACTAGAGGGACTTCCCAGCATATCAAATCAGCCCTTGTTAGTAGGGGCAGGCATGTCTCGTGACCTCCATCATGAGTCTGTCAAGCTCCATCTCAAGCAATATAAGCTTTTGCCTTTTCAAATCCTGCCATGAGGTTCTTTTTTTCCCCAGAATTCAAGGCAATTGTATCTAAAGCATTCAGGGATCCGTTTCCCAGGAGCTTGTGTGTAGCCAGCAGACAAGACCTCCAATGAATGAGTTCATGAGAGCCTGGTTAGGAAACTGGGAAACTTCCGTAACATCCATAGGCCTAAATACGGAGTGTGAAATCTTGTGTGGCTTCCAGCTCTTCACTAGAAAGGTGCAGCTCAGCTCCCTGCAAGGAATGCATGCATACAAAGAGTAGGAGTGATGTGCAGGAGAATGGTCCTCCTAAGGGAGCAAGGTGAGAGGGAGGTCAGAGCAAGTGATGCTAAGGAGAAAGCAGTGATCTGCTGCTGGAGATGACTATCAGCACTTTTGCCCACCTTTTTCTGGCACTGAGGAAGGAAACTGGTGCTTGAGGTCTGAAGAATTAGGATTACTTAGTAAGCTAGATGCATAACAATAAAAGATTAACTCAGAGTTGTGTCATGGAGCTCTGCCTGCCCTGATGGGAGCAGAGGACATGGTCTTGGTGACAATGGTATTTTCTTTTTTGAGACTACAGGTTGAAGAGCATCACTTTCTCTTTGTAACCCATTGCTCAGAAATGCAAATAGTATTTAGGTTTTACTTTTCCTTCCTCTGACATTCTTTAGCCTGTGAGTCCTCCTAATTGTATGGGTAACTTCCTCTGAGGCTGTCAGGTCTGAGTTCTGCTGAACATCCAGATGGTCTTGAGTTAAGGTGATTGAAAACTGGGGATGTCATGTGAGGCAACGACTTTGTGCTTAACTCCTGTGAAACTGCCAAGTCCTGCAGCAGCACTGATGGGTTCATTTAAACCATAGTTTTTATTTGGAGACTAGAAAGAGGTGGGAGTATCTGGGCTTTGGCTTACTTCTAGAAAACCAATGACTTCTCTTTTTTTACTCCTTACTAGCAACACAATGTATCAGTGTATTTATACCTAAAGGTATTATTCTTTTAGGAATCTGTGAAAGGTCTTAGCTTCAACAGAGGTTCTGTTTGATGGCTGGTAGGAACAGAAGATTTACTGTGTTTGAAGCCAGAGTGTTGGGCTTAGCTCTAGAAGAAGCTACAGGTGTAACTCAACAGGTGTCAGATCAAATTGTGTCACCACGACTTGATCTTTCTGCCTACAAGCAGTCCTCAGCAGGTACATGCTGATGTTATATCCAGGATCCATCCTGTATTCAGCCAGGGAGGGATTGCTTCACTTGTGTTCTGTTTTGCTGTTTTCTCCAAGCCACATTAGTGGGCACTGTCCGAGATGGATGGCATCAGAAGGGGCTTTGGTGTGACTCAGAGTGGCTCTTACCTGAAGAGCAGCTTTAGCCTTTTATCTTCTGTGGGATTGCAGTGATTTATACCAGGACTGGAACATGGATTTTGCTGGCTAACTTCATACATTTCTGGTGCCATTTCATAGGAGTAATCTGACTTTTGTCCTGAAATAATACTGTTAAAAACACCTTTGTTTTTCTAGGAATCAAGACATTCTGTCTCTTATCCTGGGAGAAAACCCACATTGTTCTACATGTGCAATATTAGGAGCCTGTTTCAGTCCAGTGGTAGCATTGAAATGTCTGTAGTAGATGTACCTGTGGCCTTTGTGTTGTGCAGTAACATGGTGCTTCTTTTGCTTTTGTTTCCTGAATAGGGAAGAGGACAAGAACATCTTTGATTACTGCAGAGAAAACAACATTGACTATGTAACCAAAGCCATTCAGTCAAAAAAAGTGGATGTGAATGTCACAGATGAGGAGGTATGGAGAAAAAGAAAATTACCATCAACTTTTTAATTGTTTTGTGTATTAATTCAGTGCCACTCTGTTTTAACATTCGCTGGTTAGGATTGTTGTAACAGGTGCTACAACAGTTGGGCAAACACTTGTGAGAATCTATTTGCAAACAGCTTTCCACCGGGTTTCTAGTCATGTGGATGTACTAACTGTGATGCTGTTGCATATCAGAAACTTAGTTTTCAAGTTATTTTCAACCAGCGGCTACTTGCAGAATAAGATCTGAATGCCTCTCTTTCCCCACTTTGTACACTAAATGTGATCAAACAGAAGCAGAAAGTGAGGGAAATGGCTGTTTTAACAAAGTTCATCATTCCCAAGTGGAGGACACATAAGTGACACTTCTTTCCAGCTTCACAAGTACAGTGACATCATCAATCTTTCTCTGCTCACCAAACTCAAAACACCATTTCCCCACAGGGAGGTAATACAGAGGTGCCAGAAACCCCAAGAAAAAGATGTGTCTAAAACTGTGAATTGGTTTGATCCTTCTCTTGGTCCAAGTAATCACCTGGTGTGGACAGTTCCCTGTTCGTCCTTCAGGAACTGGCAGTACCAGGTTTGTCACCTTGGGTTTGATGCTTGCACACTGCCACCTAGCCCTGCTGCTGGTCCAGCCTGTGCACAGCTCCTTCTGCCTGCTGCCTTCCAGCACATTGTGTTTTGGTGAACAGATGAAGTGCTTAGACATTCATAGACTGAGACGCCACAAATTCAGTTGGGTTCTCCTGTAGCTCTAAGCAGATTTCTGCCCTCTGAGCCATGACAGCCCCGGCTGGGGCTCTGCATGCTGATGGCAGGGCCTTTTATTATTAATCAGGAATTCATGTGAATTAATTTTCAGAAGAGAAGGAGGGAGTGTGTTCACAAGCAGGGCTGGAATTTCACATCATAAATTCAATGAACTGAAACTGTCATGTGCCACACAGTCACTGCCACAGTGCTGTTACTGAGCTCCATCCCTCCTCCCACCCATCACAGGTTACAGAAGGAAATGTCCAGGGTAGAATACAGCTGGAGTGCTTTCCTTAATAAAATCTCATTTGTGGGATGCAATAAGTGTAAAACAACCTCATGTTAGCGTTGCTTTGTTTCCACTGGCAAGGTGCTCTTCTGTAGTTAGCTGTGTTCAGGAGCTTGTGCCTTCCTTCCAGCTCAAGCACAAGATGTGCTTGTTTCAGCCAGTGAAATTTTGGGGTTTGAATTTAAAAAAGAAAAAGCAAAATATTTTGTGAAAGATAACTGAAATATCCAAACTACATAAGTGTTTTGAGCCAGGCTCAAAAACTGCCAGGTGACGTCCATCCTTCTTGGGAGTTCTCCACAAGTCCCTGATGTAGGAGAAGTCCTATTTCTAACTAATGGGTATTAGCCCATGACTATTGCAGAGTATGGAATTGCTTCAGCACAAGCAGGAGCCAAAAACCTCCTGCCTATCTGTGAAGGGCTCATGGGAAGACTATGAAGGAGATAGATGAAAATCTCACACCCTCAGTGATTTTTGGTGTCCCCAAGCCGAAGGGACAGGGAAGTAAGAACCCTTTTTAGCAATGCTGCCTTCCTTAGGCTGGAGTTTGGCTTATTTCATGATATGTTAAGGAGATAAAACTGATGTCAGTGTTGTGTGGTATCCAGCATGTTCTTCCCAGTCTAGAGGGTAGCTTATTTCCCAATATCATGCAGCTTGATTGAAGTTTTAGGACCCACTTTAGACTAGAGATAACCCAGACGGAGCCTTTCGTGCTGTGAAGTGTATGCAAGCATAATCTTGTCACTTTTATTAACTATTTTAGTGTTCCTGTGGAAATACATCCTGCCACATCCAAAAAGCTGCCTCACCTGGCCTCTGAACATAACTCACATTGTCAGTCCTTTGATTTAAATGCCTGTAAATGTAAAATGGCAGCAAGGATATACACAAAGAGTTAACTTGTTATGAAGAAAACCTACCAAAGCATCAAATAGGTTCGTGCTAAGCTGCAAAGACACTCAGCTCAGCTTTTCCTTGGACAATAAAGATGTGGCTGAGGTTGTAGGGTGCTTAGATTTGATTTTTATGGTATGTGGTAGAACTGCATCTAATTGTATTCCCCCATTTTGTGCAATCCTGAGAAAAAGTTAGCGAAAGGAGAAAAGAAATCAAGAATAAAAATGTAAAATGTGAACGAGCTAACTTACTTGAAGCAAAAGGATTTCAGAAAGGGCAACAGAAGATTTGGGGGGTTAGGTAGATGCAGTTAGAAACTTCCAAAGCACAAGTGACCTTCTCTTCATTCAAGCATTCAAGCCAGCATACCTGCTAACAGTTTGGATATAATAAACTTCAATTTGGAATTAAACAAAGGATCTAATGACAGTAATCATGTCCAAGCTTCCATTTACTGTATCTAAATTGCCCAGAGTTCAACAGAATAGCTTGCATTCACTTACAAGAAGTAGCACAGACCAAACCAACCTGTTTCCCTTGCGTATGTCAGCAGGACTAATGGAATAAGAAATGGACTGTGGCTGTGAAGTCACCCCAGGCACATCCTAGGAGTGTGGCTTGCTTGCTGCCTCTTTGAGAACAGTCTTTCTTCACCTTCTAGCAAACCAGGAGCTGCTCAAAGGCAGAGATGAGTTGCTTTTGTAATTTGTGCCAAGGACTGTGGAGGTTGTAGCTAGATAATTTTTTTGTAATTGTTGGAGAAATCCCAGTAAACAAACATGTTACCTGTGTGTAGTGTGTAAGCCCTTGCCAAAATGTTAATGAAAGGCATCTGACATGATGCTCACTTAGTTCCTGGTCCTCGTGCCTTTGACACAGCAAGTGCCAAATTGGTGCCAGCTTGCCAAGGAAAGGACTTGGGGGCGTGGAATGTATTTGAAGAAGGATCTCATACTTCTGGATTTACAGGCTTGCTCCCATTAGAAAAACTTCACCAAATGTTTCAGAGCTCTGAAAGTGATTTATTTCCAAATCAAGTTTACCTGTATAATTGCAACAACAGCCCTTCCATTCACTGTTCCTGCTGTCACAGGGGATGCAGCCATTCTCTAGGTACCTGTCTCCTCTTAATTACCACTAATAAAACACTTGCCACAGGTTAGAGTGGCTCATTGCTGTACAGCCATTACAGCTGCAAACATCGTGCCTAGAAGTATAGCTTCATATTGTAGCACATCCATTCGGTTTGGCTTCGTTCTCCCCTTTCTCTGCACTGGCTAATTGATGTGAAAATCATTCCCATCCGTTTGTCTGCTGAGAGTCGGTATATCAGAGACAAATCCCTGTCCTGTGCTTTGTTTGTGAACACCCTGTGACTTGGAGCTGAACAAAATTGATGTGCTGTTGGCTTGAGAAACTGCTGCAGAAGCTGGCCAAGCTGGCAGCGGTGAGCCAAGCAAAGCACACAAGATTTAAGAGGCAGGGTTAGTGCACTGGGGCTATTTTTATGCTTTTTTTTTTTTATTAAATACTTCAAAGGCAGGGGAAAATGCATCCTCTCAAGTAACTTCTGCAACAACTGTTGTGTCTGAATTGCAGGGAGGGAGAACCTGGATGTTTGATTGCGTCTCGTTGAGACCTCACTGCTGCAGTGCTTTCCTGTACAAAATTATTCGTGTGGCTTTGAGTCTCTCACTGCTTAATGAAACAGTCGTGTGGGAAGTGTTTTGGGAAAGCTCAATCTGTGGCTCTTAAGATTCTGCCATGTTATTTAAACACACTAACATGTTATGTGCTGATACAAAGCAGCAGCTCTGCAGACTAAAGAATTTTGATGTCCATGCTATACAAAGACTTGGACTGTGTATTTAGTTTAAATTTGTCTTATCTCAGGTTTATTTTAAGACATGGAAAACAAGTGGACTTTGTAGTTGTGTAGCTGCCTAAGTATGTTATTCGAACAGTTGACCACTATTAGTTTATGTGATGCCATGCAAACAGTGGTGAGTATTATCTAGTTTTTATAGAATCATTAAGGTTGGAAAATACATCTCAGATCATTGAGTCCAACCATTTTAAATACAACTTTCTTACTTTTTGCTATGCAGTAAGTAGCTTGAGATTCCTCTGCAGGTATCTTTGCTTCCACATCTCATGGTGTGCTCTTGCACGGAAGGTCTCCAGAGTCCCTTACGCCCTGTGGTGAGGGCATAACATGCTGCAAGGATGCAGACATGTCTTGGGTGGAACGTGTTAGCTCTTTAATAGTGCACAATTACAATGCAGAGCCATTTAAGACACTAATTAGAAAATATTGTATCCATTTAGAATTGCAGAGAAAATATATAGGTAAGCAGAGTGTAATTACCCAAAGTGGAATTGGCCCAAGACTTGAAATCCATACTCCTGCAAATAGCACAAGGAGATTTTTAATGACTATAGATGATCAGGCTTCAGGTTTTTTTGTCTTGTTCAAAAGGCAATATGTGCAGCAGAAGCAGCATTCCAGTGTCATGGCAGGACTGGTTGCACAGTGCTGCAGTATCCCTGAGCTGTCAGAATTAACTGTTGGGTGTCCTTTAGTGCTCTCAGCCAAGTTCAGCCCAAATAAAACATGATTCTGCTTGTCCAGACACAACCACCATATTTTACCCACTAATTTGTAATGTGAATTTTGATATAAAAGATAGAAATGCCTTTATTTTGTCATATAATTGCACAATAATTACACTTGTGTAGTTACAATATTATTCCTCTACGCATCTATCAAGAAACTGGAATCAACTGTTGAAGCATTTATTGCTGTTGTGCATATTGCAGATAGTACTTCTTTCTTTTGACATAGACATCTGTGGCACGAAAAAATTTGGTGTTTGTCCAACTGAAATCTTAAGTAATTACCAGTCCAGAGTTGAGTTAAGGATGCTAAACATGAATTAAAGGTCTCTCCATGTTTACCAATTGTTTTAACTTGTACTCTTTAACGCTTGTAGACTTTGATAGTGGCATTGAGTGCAAGAACATGAATCATTAAGTGGCCCATGGATGTCATCAGTGCTTCCATGGAAAGTCACTGTCAGAAAATTCATTCTAATTCAAGGTTAATTAGTGTAACATTAAAGTTATGCGTTACAAAAGTTAATTACTTGCTGGGTCAAAAAGTGTGCATTTCCTGACTCAAAATCATGTTTTACCTCTGCTGCCCTGCCCAAGAATACTCAGCAGAAGCAGCATGAGCTTCGGTCGCAGGTGTCTTCTGCCCCTCCTGCTTTCTGGCACCATGGTTGGGAAATTTGGCTCACAGTTCCCATTAGCAGATAAATGAGTTGCTCACCTTGTTCCCCACAGCTCTGTTGAGAGATTTATAACCAGGCGTGGGCTAATCTAACTGATTTCATCTCTCAGGGTCTGTGAATGTTTTCTGTGACACTAGAAAACACAGGTTAGTCGGATGGTATCATAGCTTGAGGGGGTGATTCCTGGTTAGCTACAGGGTGGTTTCCAAGGAATCCACTTCAAGTGTGCCAGACACCATCCTAAATCAGGAGAGGCTGATCAGAACAGTAAGTCTAACTTACTAAGTGTACATAGTAAACAAAGAAGAAAACCTGTCGCAAACCACTTTGAGCTACATTTCTCAGGGCCCCTAAGCTACTTCCCATGTTCTTGGCAGGCAGAAGATCTGAACTTTCATTGCATCCCTTCCCATGGTGGCATATAACTGTAGAAAGGGGATGGGAAGAAAAGTGTGGAGGTTTGGGAGAGGCTGGAGGCATGGATGCAGCAGCCCAAGTTGCAGAGCTGAGAGGGGACAGCTGTGGGGGATGCCTGTCCAGATGGCCAGTTCTGATCTTCTCTTGCAGCAGGGGCAGGACCCATGGGTTGAGTGTTTTGGATCTGCCAGAGGAATGAGCTTTTGGGGACTTGGTGTCCAGGTGACTTAGGCAGCATTGAAAATCCAACCCTTGCTGTGTAAGTCATTGCTCCCAGAAAATCTGAGGTGGTAAAATCCCAACTCTGTATAGGAAAAAAAATCATATATGGCTCCTGTGTTTCGTGCTTTGCTGCTTTTCCCTTCTAAACTTTTTCCTGGCATGTGGGTTTGATGCTAAATTAATGAAAAAATGAGCTATGCGTCCCTTTTAACATTTCTAGGATTATTTCTAAGTCCGAATCACAAGCAATAGTAAGTTACATACTAATATGAGCTTTTCATGTTTATATTTTCTAAGCCTCTGTTGATTTTGTTATTTGTGCTCAACACTTAATAGCAAAACTGATTCTCCATGGGGTTTTTTTCCTTGGCTTTGTTAATTTTCTCCTGGCTGTTACAGGGCCGGGCTCTGCTCCATTGGGCATGTGACAGAGGACACAAGGAGCTGGTTTCAGTACTGTTACAGCATGCTGCTGATGTGAACATCCAGGTAAGAGGGGCATAAAAAGGCATTTTTGATTGATGTGTTATGTAGCCTCCTGACCAAATGTTTCATGTGAAACTGAACTCTTCCAAAACTCCATAGCAAGTTCTCTCAGGGCACTTACTACGGAGAGGAACATCCAAAAAGGTAACCTAGGAAAAATAACAGGGTTTGGTTGCGTGAAATACATATTCCTAAGAGGCCTTTCTCGGTTCCTG